AAAAAAGTATTTATGAATTTGCTTATAATTTCCCCTTCTTCTATATTGCTCCTGGTCTTAAATGATAAATGAGATCTTCTGGCTACTCTGTCTTATATATCTTTTTTTTTTTTAAGATTATGCATACCAAACTGGGGTACAGGCAAAAGATGCAGGGGAGACAAGAGGATTCGACAAAGACAGAATGGAGAGCAGAACAGGTAGATTGACAAAGTACACTGCTGAGGGGAGCAATGCGCTCGTCAGGAGCGGTCTGTCGTGCCATATGCGTCAAGGCCCTGGCCGGGAATCAAACTTGTGCTGAAGCTGCAGCACTTCATAGTGCTGCACTTTAACCCATTATACCACCAGGGAGGACCCTTATATATCCTTATATATCCTGCTTATACCTTTTCTTCATCTTAAAACAGAGATTCACAGGCACTATATATCCAACCTATCTTTCCTACAACATATTTTTTTTCCTGCCTGAAGATTTCCAAACTACAGAGGTGGTAGTGTGATGACTAAGAGACTGGGACTGAATTCTGACTCGTCTTTTCTCAGCTGAGGAGTAACTGACATGTTTGGTTCCCATCTTAAATCTGTATTATCTTTGGTAAGTTGGTTTGGGCTCTCTGTGCTCAGCTCCATGCCTTAAGTCAGTATTGATTAACATCATGAATGGTGCCTAGAGCTGGGCCTGCCACAGAGTAAGCACACAGTAAACACTTCTCGCTATTCCCAGTAACGTCCACTCTGCCTCACCCGCCCTCTCACACTGTGTTTCTTCCTCCCAGGCTTCACTTATCACTGAAATTCACTGGGAATACAGTCACCTGGGGGAGAAGCATGGGATGTTCACCCTCTAACAATTACTTTTAAACAGATGTATTACTGAACAGCTTGTAAAATATTATGTAGTTTTAAAATAAAAAAAAGGATTAAAAGAAATTCTACTTGCAGTTGGCAACCAATGGCTACACCCTAGAATATACCTGGATCTCCTCTGCTCCTCCACTATCTGGAGCATTTGGGGAAAAAAGTGCCTTTTCAAACACCCCTCATTTTCTTCAGAAGCCCCTCTTCCTAAAACGCTGGTTTTCACACACTTCGCAGAAATGACGTGCATTCCCCTCACTTGCTTTGTTCTCCAAGACCCTTTCTGGGCTGCCCTCAAGGACAGCTCTCTCTCTCTCTCTTTTAAATTTCCTCAGTGCTGTTTCTCATCTCTCAAGTCCCCCCTTTGCCAGCCCCATACGTTTTACATGTTCTAGCTTTTCCACAGCACAATAAAGGCTTTGGTGTGCATGTGACAATCAAGAACCTCAACAGCCCAGAACTACCCAGAGCCATCTCCTGGCTTTTACACTCTATCCAGCATCCCTCCACTGGAGTAGATGCTAACAGCACACCCTGCCAGGGCTCAGGACTTCCTACCCACCATTCTACCATTCTAGTTTCACCTGGAGGAATAAATCGTAGTCAGGATCAAAATGACTTCCAGGTCATTGTTGTGTATTTCCTATACAACACATTTCATTTCAGAGTGGAGTTGTTTTTATATTTATGCATACAAAACTGGAGTACAGGCCAGAGGTGCAGGGGCGGTGAGAAAGTTCACCAGAGACAGAGCAGGGAACAGAACAGGCAGACTGAGGGACAGAAGGCGTGCTGTGTGGGTCTAGTCCCTGGTCAGGATAGAACTTGTGCTGAAGTTGCAGCTAGCTTCATAGTACTACACTTTAACCCACTGCACCACCACCGAGGGCCCCAGAGTGGAGTTTTTACACCAACTTTAGAGGTGTCAGACCAGTCACTGAAGAAACTGGCCACCCTTTACCTGTCACGCAGAGTGAAGCATGCCGCCTCCTACCTGGTTCTTGCGGTAGTCCTGCTGTGAATGTCTCAGCACACGGTAACACAGCCTCAGCATGTACTTGTAGGGAGCATATCTCTGGTCCCCCAGATCTTCAAGCCTCAGCATTGCGCCCTCCCCTGCTTTCTCCTTAAATGGTGCTTTCAGAATCCCAAATACCTAAGGGAAATAATGAATGAAGGGCACAATTTGTAAAGGGCTTCAGTTTTTAACAATAAGCACATGAACTCGGTTTTGTAGTATTTGAGTGGTTAGAATATAAAAGGGGGAAAGGATTTAGGATATAGGATCAGTGTATTAAGGAACAGAAAGACACTACTAAAGGATTTCCCTAACTGGACTGATAAAATATTAAGTAAAAATAATTTTTAAATTATATTTTATTAAAATAAGGGATAAAATGATGTTAGACTGCACCAAGCCACATGAACATCTTTAGATGAACTAAACTATAACTTGATTTTCATAAGTGTATAACTACTAATATATTTTCTGTATCATTCTAAAATCAAGATAATTAAAGAAAATGTTTACCTTTTATCTAAAACTAAAATCAGCAAATTGTCTTCAAATATTGCTGGAGGTTTAGATGTTGGCATGGTATAAAGGAATTGATGCTGGTGCATAAAGATGTGACTAAATCAATGAAAATATAAGCATTTCAATAAGAAAGGGGCCATACAGGCACTGGTGGCTCCAGTGACCCAGATTCTTCGCATAAAAAAATCACAAGTTAGTAAGTATTTGAAAGCACTGAGGAATGCAGCTCGCCTAAACAGCAAGTCAGCAGGTAGGACAACCAGAGAAGAGCAGGCAGGAAGAGCAAACTGCTTACGAAAGAGCACTATCCAAATGCTAGGATGAACACTGAAACAGACAGCAGAGCGGAAGAAAGACTCTTTCTTAGTTCACAAAATGTAATACAAATTAAAGTTCTTTCACTAAATCTATATTTACTAAGCTTTGAATTTTATAATCCTGAAACAAGATTGTCATACAGTAGTTGAAATTGTATTAATAAATACCACTAATAAAACTTCTTGGAATTAAATGTTTTATAAAGAAGAAATGTTAATGTCAGAGAAGACTGTCTCCTTAGAGTTTCTCTGAGAAAAGTGTTGATTTCATATTTTCAGGCAATCAGTTATGGAATATTAACAATATGTCTACTGATTTGCTTTCTCAACTCCATGTTTCTTGAGTTCACACTTAATGCAAAAGCTCATCACATTATGCAGCGATAAACTGATTTAAAAGAATGTTTCAAAGTAGGCAAGTTCATATGTGCATTGTATTGAAAAGTGAACTAATTTATTGATTTTTTCATTAACTTCAGAAAGACACAGTACAGAAGAAGCTCTAGCTTTTCACAGGGAAACACAGCACAGAGCACTTGTGAGTTGATAGATGGCTAGACTGCCCTACTTTCCTAGGAAAGAAGAGGGGAAAAATTAAGAAACAGATGGAGATGGCCATTTCCAGGTTCTTCTGGAAATTCTAGCTAGAAAATTATTCCAGCACATTTTTCTAAAGATAGTCTGACCATATGTGTTCCTTAGAAGTCTGTAGTGAGCTGTTTCCAAGATGGCCCCCAACACCCCCTGCCTCCTAGAACTCACACCCTTAGGGAATACTGTGCCCTTGACAATGGGTGAAATTCACTGACTCACTTCTAATGAGAACTAATGAAGAGGACTGATGGGATGCTGCTTGGGTTCTGGAGACTGTGGCTGGCCCCTGGACTACCTCTGATCTCTTCTCATGAACTCCTTACTTTTAAGAAAAGCCAGTTGCCTCTGTAGAGGTCTCTTCAAGTGAGCTGGGACATGAGTTCTCACCCATCCCATTCTTGGATGACTCAGTCCCAGCCAGCACTTTGCTTGCAGCCTACTGAAAGACTCTGAGCAGGAACCACCCACATAACCAACTCTCGTTCCTACTCTAGAAACTGTAAGCTGAATACCTGCTGTTTTCAATCACTACGTTTTAGGGTTATCTGTTCCACAGCTATCAATAAGCAACATGAAGACTTCAGAAAGAGAAACAGATACATGAAAGATAAACAGATATATGAAAAAATTCACCTGTGCCAATATGTTTTGTTCCCTCATTAATTTTTGACGCTCTCGGTTTGGCTTAGTGATAACCACATCCAGAACTTCTTGTCCATTATTAAGTACATCAGCAACAAAGAAGATGAGGTCTTCCAGTAATTTGGTTACAAACCTGTCATAAAGTGAAAAGATCACCTTACTCTCTGGTATGCTTCATTTTGGAAAATATTTTTTGAAAGCTTTCTACTCTTAAAGAATACAGTGATTTTTTTTTTAAAGCAATGCATGTGTGTAGAGCATCATAAATCAGTAGCCCCATGTGGTATATCATATTTGCAATCAATATAATGGTTTCTAATAAGCACTAAGAACTGAACCATTTGGAGAATGAAAGCATTTTATAACAGAAGTTTTAAAATGGCAAAATAGCTAGTTAGTGCTTACAAAATCTTTATAAAAACATTCCAAAACTTCCTACATAAAAGAGCATAGAAGATTTGTACAAATTATCCACCAAAGAAAATATGAGAATTGTGTAGTACCTTGGAAAAGTCTGGCAGTTCTAATAAAGTTAAACATACACTTAGCATACAACCTACAATTCCACTTTCAGATATTTGCTGAGAAGTTAAACCTTCTCATTATATGAAATCCATAAAGAGATACTTACAGCAACTTTATTCAAAATTGCTAAAACTAGAAACTAGCCAAATAACCTCCAATTGACCAATGAATAAACAAGCCATGGTACATCCATATTATAGAAGACTAGTCAGCAATAAAAAAAAGAACAAACATGGCCCTCCCTGGTGGCGCAGCGGGTTAAAGCACAGCAGTGAGAATCTGAAGCC